TTTTTTTCTATTTTCTCATTTTCTAGTTTTCCCAAGAGTCAGTCAAGAACAAAAGTATAAAAAAGTCAGAGATTTTGATTTAATAAAAATAACAAAATCCTGTTTTTTCTTCCTTATCTTCAACTCTTTTTTTTTGGGAGTGGGGGGCCTCTGGAGATACTCTAGTACAGATTGGAAGACATCCCCTAGGGATGCCAAACTCTGCCTACCAACTGACTTTCTCATCGGGTGGTCTCTCCATGGCCCATCTGGGCCAGGTGTCGCCCATTCTGTGTTCCCCCATGCTGTGCCTTCTATCACAGAATTAGCATGCTGATGATTCCCACCATGTGCTTCTCCCAACATGCTCCCTAAAATGGCAAGGATCCTTGCATCCTAAGCGCATAGCTTTTGATATGTAGTAGGTGTCTGTAGTAGGTGTTCCCTGGGCTGAATTTCCATGCAGGAGGAAAGCTAAGGGAGCAGGCACTTTCTAACCTAAAACACAAACACCCACACACACAATTAGCTAAGAAGCCAAGCTCACCAGTAAGGCATGACCAGCTTTCCCTTCCCGGGGCAGAAGCTTCCTCATGTAATGACAAACCTTCTCAGGTTCTGCCTGGTCCCAACACATCCTCGTGCGAACCTGATAACTCAGAGTTAACTGTTCTATGCCTTACTAAGGTTAATATTTCATATAACTGTCAAGCGCATTAGGCAAGCTTTGCAAATGCAAAGTGAGAGATATTTTTAAAGATTATGTATGTGGTCCATACTTTTATAAAATTAGCTACAATCTCTTGGTGTCATTTTGGGAATTTTTTCCAATGTGTGTGTGCTCACCTCAAGGAACACCACAAGTTAGTCACTGACTAGAGGAAAAGTCTCTCTTGATAAATATGTATCTATACATACTATCCACACACACATTTTATCGGGCAGTGAGAAATCTGTGACGTTTCCCCAGGGTCTCGCTAAAAGACTGGTGTGCGTCTCACTCTGATCATGAGGCAGAGGGCTTTGTGTGGTACAGAGTAGAAGAGGGCTCCTTTAGAGGAGGTAGCAGCCACAACTGGTCCCGAAAGGCTGCCTGTGGTCCAACTGTTCATTGTTGTCAGCATATTTCAAGGTATTGCTCTTTTCATGCCCCCACTAAATGGATTTATCCATTATCTAGTTTAAACTAAACCTGCACAAAGACATGTGGCTTAGTAGGTTTTCTGCAAAGAAAATGCTATTTGGAGAGAATTCAAATCATGGAAGCAACAGAGCTCTGAGCTTTCTGTCAGTTACATTACAGGCTAAAGAGACAGTGGCAATCCAATCAGATCTGTTAAACAAGCAAAAAATAGAGATAATCAGAAGACTACTTGAAATTTGTAATCATAATATCTCATGGAAAAGTTAAGCCACATCCAAAGGGAGCTAAGGAGTTTTGTGATTACTAGCCAATGACAGAATATTTTTATAATTAAAAACTACTAAATATACATATTCAGGGGGCTATATGTTCAAAAATGTTTTATAGAAAATGTGAATAACCAAAAAAAAAAAAAATTGGAGACTACTGGCTTATCCCTACTTCTAAAAATATTTTATATTTATTTCTGATTATCCTAGTTGTAGAAATTTAGAAAATGCAAGAGAACATCAAAGGTAAACTAACCACCCAACTTTTAGCCACCATGAAATAAACATTATTAGCATTTGTCTTCTGCTCTCTTTATGTCATGACAGATTCATGTGAACACCTTTTGCAGAGGGAGGCTGAGTCTACAGGAAAGCTTTATAGGACATCATTTAGGCATCACTCGGGGCCTCTGTCTACCATCCAAGACAAGAAGCCAAACAAGGTATGTTAGAAACGCTGCCACATCCTGGTACTGAGCCTAACAAATCTGGGATGTTTGACTTCCATGGCGGGCACATTAGGATCTCATTCCAGGTAATAAAATGACAGCCACATAGGGCATCGTTACCGAGGAGAAAGAGGCAGGGCAGTGATCTGTGCTTTCCTGATGTTTAAGTTAATTAGCTCATCTCAGCCATCAGTGATACGGCTGAGGACCCACGCTCACAGCCCCCAGATGTCAGGGTGGTGGGCCTGCTCCACTCCCAGCACTCCCCAGAAACTTGGACACTTTCCACCAAAGGCCTTCCTTTAGGAACAGAACCAGAGCTGCGGGTCCCCTGTAGGCACTGCCCCGACTTATGTCAACTCTGACGTGGCTCTTTTCACAGAAGCCACTCTGAGCTTCACACTCTAGGGGTGTGTTCCTCACCCTCACATGGATGCACGGTTGGTATTTGAAACAGCCTCATCGCCCTTAAAAATAACTTCTGGCCATCTGACTTGAGGCAGAACTTCCCATGGTCCGGCAGCATTTCCATTTTTATCTAGGATTAGAGGTGGAATTGCCCTCTAGCTTCCACCTCCTCCCAGATGGGGCAAGGCCACCTGAAACCTGAACATCACACTCTATCAACAGATGCTGAATCAGGCCACTGGTTTTTATCTCCTTTATTTATGGGGTCCTCCCCACCCCCCATGATGTACCAATCACTCCAAGGTACTGTCCAGTACTAGGGGAGGGAGCCTTATACAAAGGCTAGCTAAAGAACACAGATCCTGTAAGTGAAATAAAAATTCCTCTACCAACATTTAAATAGATTCGAACTTTAATGTATTTGACTTGTACTCCTTTAAAACGCTATTTTCTACATATGCTTTCGGTTGTCTTTCAGACATGAAAGTGAACTTCCTAGAGCCGCTACAGGCAAACAGACTCTGCCAATACCTCTAGCTGACAGCAGTGTGTAACTGATGAAGCTAACTAACTCAGTTTGGGACTAAACTAGCACCTCTGTCCTCTAATCCATAGCCTTCTGATCAATAAATCTTAAACATGGTGGTTTTATTTTCCTTAAGCATTTTTTTTTTATGTGAAAAGAGGAAAGTAAAGTACACAGCAGTCTAAGTAGGGCTTTCATGAGAGCAGGGCATCATAGCACAAACCTCGGATCCCTGCCCACTGCCCTGTCTCAGAAAACAAACAAGGCTGGTCGGGTGGCTCAGTGGGTAAAGATGTCTGCTGTTGGACTTGACAACCTGATTTGGTCCCCAGGACCCTCATGGTGGAGGGGGAGAGAAGTGACTTCTGTGAGCCATCCTCTGAATTCTAGAACAAAACAAACCAAACAAAAAGCCAAAAATAGTGCTGGAGAGATGGCTCCCCGGTTAAGGACTTGCTCTCACAGAGGACCCAGGTTCACTTCCCAGCACCCGCCTGGTGGCTGGCTCATTGTTCACGCATTTTCCTTCTGGAATGTACTCATCCCCAGAGGGATATGGCGGAGCTCAGGAAGAACTCCTCGACAGAAGTTAAATGCAGCCTCTTCCTCTTTGGTGAGTCTCATTCCTGACCGCTGAAGAGTAACGGTTTGGACCCTTCCTTCCCGCCCCTTCCCACAATGCTGGCACTGTGGAGTTCACACAGTACTCAGCGTGGCTTGGTAACACATTTTTTTCCCCACATGCATTTTAACTGTTGTTTCGAATACGCTTTGATACCACATGCCGCTTGAAATCTCTTGAGTACAGACGTAAAATTCAGGGACCATGTAAGAAAAGCAGCAGTCGCAGAAACCAGTTGGAAAGGTAATTAAAATATGCCTTTAGAACATATCCTTTTTTTTTTTTTTTCTTCTTTTTCTGTATGGTGTAATAGTGTTGGTGACAGGATGTGTGTGTGAGTGCGTTGATAAGGATTAATCCAGGACATCTCAAATACCAGACAACTACTCAACTACTAAGCTACATCCCAGCCTACCTTTAGAACATGAAATCTTGGAGTAAGCATTGCCAGGGCCCCTGAGGCATGTAGCCAGGTGTGCTCACAGGGCAAGAAAGAACCTCAAGGGACATAAGGGGCAGAAAGACGATAACTTTCAATGCTACTTTTCTTTTACACTTTAGATCCTGAACATGAACATTTTGTTCCAGGACCAAAGAAAAAAAGCAGCTATTTCCCAGACAATCCTCCGGTCCCGAGTTAGATTGTAACTGGGATATTGAAATTTTCAACATTTAAAAATAAAACAATTCCTTCACAACTAGTTTGATGGACGTTCCCGCAAACACAGTTGGGAAGGTTGGTCCCTATAAGCCCTGATGCTCCAACTTCAGGGAGCTTTCTAGGAGGAAAATTAAGAGGGAGTGGTAGGTGGAGTTCGGTGGCAGAGCCCTTGACTAGCTCCTGTGAGGTGCTGACTTCTGTTCCCACCACTACAAGAATGAAAATCAGCGAAGATGTGCTAGGTGGAGGATTAGCCTCGTCCCTATCCTACCAGTCAGGGGCAAAGAGAAAAGGGTGTTTTTAAGAGACTCTTCTACCACCCTCAGAAGCAGCAGTTCCATGTGTGCTTTCCCTACCCCAGAAGCTCTGCTCGTGTAGCTTTAGTTACAGCTTCAAAACAGAAAATAATAAACATATTAACTATGCGAGGCAGATACCACCGCCGCCATGTTAACTCCGCTCTTCCAGAAGTGAATGGAAGAGTACACGGTAAACCAAAGCCGTGCCTTATCTCGGGCTGCCCTTGCCTTCTGCGTGATGAGATTCACTGAATCGCCGAGCCCTGCTCCAGACTGACTCACACCCCGCCCCAAACACACACTGCTGAGGTGCTAGGAATTCAGGGTGTTATACATACTAGGCTCTACAACTAAGCCGGATTCCCAGAGGTCCCAGTGATCAAAGCTATCCAGGGAAGTGATCCACAGACAGGAAGTAAGCAGGGGGCTCTGCTCAGCAGTCAGGATGAAGGGGACTAAAGAGAACAGATACTAGCGGAATGTGAATTCTGTGAGTTCTAAAGTTATACCCTGATACGCCGCCCCTCTTCATGTGGCCAGTCTAAGGATGCAGCAGCGGGCCTGGCCTGGAAGTGCTTCCCTGGGCACATCCACTGTCTCTCTCCCTCCTCCCTTCCTGCCTTCTTCTCTGGCTGCCCCCTACCTCGATGGTGTACTGTTCAAAGATGCGCAGCTGCAGGAAGATGTCCAGCTTGATCTTCCGCTCGTGAAACAGCTCTTCCATCTGCACCTGAGCATCGTCCAGCTGCTGGAGGACGGACTCGATGTGGCTGATAGAACTACTGTGAGGCGTCTTGTTGTTGGATACGGCGGAGTCCCTGTGGCAGAGCGGGGAAACAAGAGAGGAAGAGGCCTTACTATGTGAAAAGTGATGGAGGAGCGGGGTGGCTTTCCTCACCTGGCAAAGAGGATGCAAATCAGGTTAGACATTTAACAGGCCAATCTATGCAAGTGCCACTGCGGCCTGACACCATCTCCTAAGTAGGAGAAGCAGAGATGAATTCACACTCTTTGAAATTCATACCTTTAATTGCGAATCTTGCTACTCTCCCATCCTCAAAGGATAGAATGAAATAAGCTAAGAGAAAGGGCATAAAATATCACAGAAACGGAATGGCCCAAATCACACGTATAGTCTAATAAACACACACACAGCAGAACACATAAAGGTAGGTAGACAAAGGAATCTGAAAGCAAAACCGAAAAACTTTCCTAAATTACTTCCAAAATTATTCGCCAACTTCACAATGCTGGGGTTACACCGTGGGCCGGTGTTCCGAAGCAGACTTCAGGCTACAGTTAGGAAAGCATAGGATCTGGAAGTCTATAAACATCATTCGGGTTCCTGCTGTGACATACATAGGCTGGTGATCCTGGGAAATCATCAACCCCAGCCCACAGTTTGCTGTGCGGTAGGCAGTTGAGAGTTGGGACCGGAGCGTGCGGCAGAAATCATTGTTGATGCAGAAGGGGCACAGGGAAGTGTCAAGGGTTTCCTACAACACAGTCAGCCTGGGAGAGTAAGGCTAGAGAGCACAGGCTGGGACAAAAGACAAGTGTTTCAGAGGGGATGGGCTTTGATTTGGGGAATGGACAGACTCATCCAGGGAGAAGGGAGGGGGCCGTTTCCTCCACGGTCTACGTAAAAGTAGCAGGGACAAGAAGCAGGTCGCAGAGCGGAACGGAGCTATAGAGAGATGGTCTTGTTCGGGGGAAATGACTGTGGAGGAAAGCGAGACCACCAATGACACTGTTTACGGGAAAGCTATAGTGCTCCCGAAGCCTAAGTTCTGCAGAACCTGAAATAAGCCAGAGCTTTAAAATGGGAAATGAGCCTGCACACCTGTTACTGCTGAGGCCCTGGTTTCTTACGAGACTCAAGAGGTCACCGGGCAAAGGAGAGAGCATGAGTGTTAAATTCTCTCCTCAGCAGGTCCCAAAGGCAGAGTCCTCTTAGCTTGGGCTTGCCTCAGAAGCGGCAGGGCCTGAGCTCGTGCTGCCTGCTCCTGAAGACAATTAAGAGCTCTTGTTGTGTCAAGTAGCTCCTAGCCACCCAGAGAGCTCCTAGCCCTACCTCCTACTCTTGGGGCATCAGAGTGGGAATGGGCACAGTTTCTATCTCCACTGTTGTGCTGAATAAGCAAGAGGTGTGGGTAATAACATGCCTTAAGTGTTTGTCCAGAGGTGTTTCTGCAATGAGGAGGACCTGCCTGCTCTCTCAGATCACCCCCTCAGACAGCATACGAGGCATCTGGGCAGTGTCCCACTAGGAATCACGGAGATGATCCACAACCACCTCAGAACTCCAACCGCAGACACAGAGGAGGTGTGTTTCCAAGGTATAGGAGAGATCCTGCCTATGTTCGTAAGCTCCCCTCACTTCCTACTCTTCGACAGTCTCTGATGTAGGGAGGGAAGCACAGGAGAATGCCAGGCCAGTGGATAGATGTGATGCCACTGGCGCTCTTGGACACGTGCACAGGGCACTTGCTAAAATCCATCCTCTTAAACAGTGTGGAGAAGGCATCACCCACATCACAGCCTCTACCACCACCGAGCAGGCTTTAGCCCTTGGGCACCGTGCAAGACTAGCAGTTGTGAGGAACGTGTGCCATCTCTGCAGGCTCAGCCCTAGGAAGAGGAAAACCAGGCAGCCAGCTTGTGGGAAGCGTTTCAAAGTTCACGTCTGTCAAAACCATCAGAGAACCCTTCGTCTAACGGAGAGTCTGAAGCACGTGCCTTAGTTATACAAACAAGGCAGTCGACACTCCGACTGCCTAAGTGGCTGCCCACTAGTTTGACTTGTTAGAAGCAAATGACAGTAGGTTTTCCTAGGTAGGCAGACAAAACTCATGCATTATATATTCATGAAGATGAATCGGGGAAAAGGCAAAGAGGCTGTGTTGTTAGTATATAATGGGGAAACTCAGCACATCTCATGTGCATGTTTAGAACAGAAATGATTAATTTCAAGCAGAAAAAAAGAAACCATGCCAAGGCCTCTTAAAGATAATTTTTCATTGTTTTTTTAATTGGACAATTGGTATGGGTCGGGGGAGCTTTCTCCAGCTAAAGTAATACCCTCAGGCCTCAGGGCTGGCCTGGGACTTGTCGATGAGATTATTTCTGTCTATAGCTGGCAGAGGTCCCAGAACTTGGTGATTTGGGGGCAGAAACAAGTCCCTGAGGGCAGGCATCATTAGCACCATCAAATCCTATTTATGCAGCACCTGGGCATGGGGCTGGTTGCTGAGGGCTTGCCTAAGGCTTAGTGACACTTTATCTGAGGAGCCAGTGCCCTTGACAGGGACAGGAACTAAACATTGATGCCAACAGAAAACAATCAGTGGTGTGGGCAATACTAAACAAATCCACAGCTTTCAACAGGGTTTTCATGTTTTACTTAGTTGTGTGTGTTAACGTTGACAACAAAGGAGTTTCATTATGCAGACAGGAAGGCACTGTTGAAAGGTCACAATGGCTAACCTTCCCTTCATCCTCAGGGTCCCAAAGGGAAGCAATGGGGCTACGGAATTCAGAGTTTGGCCGAAGATCAAATGCTGGTTGTAAGGCGCAGAGGAAGCCCTGAGTGGGTGTGTGTGCAGCCAGCAATGAGATGGCTATATCAAGGACCGATAGCCCTCAGACCCACAGGAAAATGGCCTCCCCCACTGCTCCCAAGGTGAGGCTCAGGGGGATGGCATTCTCTGGTCTGTGAGGATGTTGATAATATATGCAGAGAATGCCCACTGTAGATTTCTCTCCTTGGATATTTATGGCCTAAAGACTAGAGACTGCCCCTACTGAGATAAACCTGTCTCTTTGAGTCAGCTGAATACTCTAGACCCTGCCTCTAATTCAGCTGTGTGCAAGAATCCCACTTCTCTGGCCGACTATGTAAAATAAACACTGAGCAGCCAGGGCTGCTGCTGAGGCCTCTCCATCAGAGACCCCAGTTCATTTGATCCCAGATTTTCCGTGTGTCTGTGTATTTTTCTGTTCTTCATTTCCCCACAGTCAGTCAGGTTCATCCTTGTTGCTGTGCTGGATGCAGCAACTGGATAAAACTATATGTAATAATGTTTGTTTCTCTGCATGGCCAAACATATCATTATTCCTAATGAAAATGCTATTCTTACTGTTTGCTGAATATCATCCCAGGTGATAAACAATGCTCTGAAGCATCAGAGCTTTCCTTGAATGAATGCTTCCGTCTGAACTCAAGCTGGACGTGGAACGGACATTTGTGTGTCTTACAAACAGAGAAATGGAAGCTCACACAGGACCACAAAGCAGGCTGTGGCTGAGTCAAGACGGGGACAGGACTTATCTTGTGTCTAGCCCGAGGCACTTCCCGATGGAAATCACTGCCCATGCTGACCTGGCCTCGGTGGGCTCCCCCAGGGAGGGAGGCGCTGACCTGAGCTGCTGGATAAGGTCTTCGCCTTCCTTGATGACATTGAGAGTGGCATCCAGGGTGGCGGTCTGCTGCTGCTGGAACTGCTTGATCAGTTCCTGGACCGCATCCACGGAGTCTGCACAAACATCCTCCAGCACCTCCTTCTGCAGATCTTCCATCCATGTCCACAGCTGTGTGGGAGAGAGCAGAGACTGAACTCGCTGAAGAGAGAGGGCAACAAAAGCCGCAGAGGAGTCACATCCCAGATCGGGAGTCACTGTTGTCAGCAGCACCTCTAGAGGCCAGTGTGTGTTGCTACAGTGATACTCGTTACCCATATTGGCCAAGTTTCACGGCCTAAGAACCGGAAAACCAAATATTTCAGTAAAACCTGCAGGTCTCTTAGAGCAAAGAGGTTCCTCATCTTTGGGAGACCAGAATGAACAGGAGACTGGAGCGGACAAATATTTTATCTCTTAGAAAGGAGAAAGTGAAGGGCCCTGCACACTTCTTCCAGGCAGCTAGAGACTGCTTCCTGGAAGTTGACTGTAACAGCACATACAAGTTGATCTTATTGCAAAGATGCAAAAAGACGCCACCCAAGAGGAGCAGAGTGAAGAGAAAGTGTAAGCGATGCCATGCTAAACTCTTTGGTTCTTTTTAACATTGCTGGGTTATTTAGAAAGTTAAGTACAAAAGGTGCAGCTTTTCTTGACTTCAGTGAAAGTACAAGATACTTCCACATTCTATCCAAGGTGGCGTTAACTGTTCGACAACTTTAAAGAAGCTAAGTCTAGTGTTTTGAATAAATGAGCACTGGAAGCAGTGAAGGATGACTTCCTGAAAGAAAACTTGTTCACTAAATGCTAGGTCACCTAGTGAAATGGATGCTTCAGCCATTTCTAGACCTCTGGCTTTAATGGAGCTATATCATGGTCCATTGTTCCCTACTTAAATATGAAGTCCCTGCTCTGTCCCACCCTTTCTCTTAGAACACACATGGTTATAAACTTAGATAGCTATACCCAAAAGAATGGGCCTAATCTGGGGCTCTCTAGAACCCAGCAGGGTAGAGTAGTTACGAGAGCCCTGCAGTGATGAATGCAGGTTAGCTTTAGTGGTGTGACCACTGAAGCCAGGAAGGGTTGGCCACAGCTACTGTCTTTCATACATAGCAGGGCAGCCTAAGGAAAGGGAAACCAAGAAAAGCCAGAAGGAAGGGGATAGCCAAGGAAGAAAGATGTGCAGGGTGTGGGGTGGGTAGTGGGGGTGTGGGGTGCATGGCAGTGGCTTTATCATAATTTCTTCCTGCTGATTAGCTGTTCTGTCATACATGGTGACCTTGAGGGATGCTGAAAAGACCACCATCCCCAAAGGCAAACTTCTCCCTTAGTCACTTTGAGGATACTGTTTCATTCTGCCTTTACGATACTAATTTTTGTTTCTTAAATAAATAGGTCAGTTTGGTAACTGAAATGGAAGAGAAGTTGTTCTGCTCTTGAGACCGTCATCCTGTTTGAAGACTGGACTGTTTTAGTTTGATTCTTGGGAAGGCAGGTAGACAAACGTGTGCATATGTGTTTGTGATGTGTGTGTGTGTGTTTATGAGAAATAAAGGGCACATAGAGTGATTTCACAAGGAAAGAACCAAAAAGAAGTGGGTATTTAATACAGCTATCTAAGAGCTGATATGGTGACTCTGGACATATTCTTTAACTTACCACTCATACTTATTAACAAAAAATCTTACAAATGGTATTTAGAATGACTAGGGATGGCAGCATTTCCATGGAAACACAACAAGGAAAGAAAATTCTGCCTTGACAGTCTGTACAGATAGACGACCTGGACTTCAGTCTCAGGATGTGGCCAGGGATATTTCTCCCTTTTCCAGCTCTCTAGACCAGCACCTGCCTGCTGCCTGTGTGGCCTGAGAATCTTTGAATACTCAAAGATTCACACAGTTGACACTGATCTCTGGGTGCAGAAGAAAATGCTGAGCATATTCCTGTCATCTCCCTTTATCAAGTGGTTTTTCTTTGCTTTAAGTAGCTATTAAAGAGTGTGATTCAGAGACTGAAGCAGCAGGCACAGGGCCTGCATGGGTCTGCACCAAGTCAGTCCTCTGTGTGTGTGTTATGGGTGTTACCTTGGTGTTTTTGTGAGATTCCTAACAGAAGTAAGTGTGTCTCTGGTTCTTTTGCATGCTCTTGAGACTCTTTTCCTCCTGTTGGGTTGTCTTGTCCAGCCTCAATATGAGGACATATTGAAAATGAAAATACATGTTAAACTATTTATTTTATTACTTATATGTATGTATGTGCTTTATGTATGTGAATACAGGTACCATGGAGGCTAGAAGAAGTTGTCAGATATCTTAGAGCTGCAGCTACCCAACATGGGTGCTGAGAACCAAACTCAGGATCTCTGAAAAAGCAACCAACACTCTTAACTGCTGAGTCATCTCTCTAGCCTAGAAATACAGGTTTTTTTTTTTTTGTTTGTTTGTTTGTTTTTTAAATCAAGCACAACAGCCTAAACTTCTTGGTATATTTATTTGTAGTCTTTATTCTATATGTGGTCAAAATTGTGGTCATTCCAGATAGTCATATGGGTTACCAAATGGCTGTGTAATACTCTACCACAGTAGATACACTATGACTTGTTTAACAAATCAGTGTGAAACATTCATGTGGTCTCTCATTATTCAAGACTGACTAGAACTGTGATGAAATGATCAGATGATTTTAGTTGTCAGACTCCTGTGGTTGAAAAGAGTTCACAAAGAAGGCCGATAGGATTAAAAAAGACTTCAATTTGAGGAAGAAATGAGATTGAATGTTATCTTATTACTATCTTCTATTTCCTTTATGGTCCTAATTAGAGTAAGCCTTTTGATGTTGGAAACAGACAGAGGTAAAATTATGAACTTTAGTCTTCATAGTCAAAGGGAGTCTATTAAATCCTTCATAAAGGTGTATATTCAGTCACCACACAGAAATCTCCCAGAAAGGGAGCTTTCATTCCCATGTCGTCATTACATGATGGCATTTTATTATACAGAAGTACCAGGGAAAACCTTTAACAAATGATTGGAGGAAGAAAGAAAAAAAAAGGAGCCAGCCATAACAGAGCAGAGGAAACCTGAAACAGCAGGTTCACTCAAGGCCTCAGAGTAAAGCCCAGCAGCTTTTCCTTCATTTACTACAATTCACTGAAGGCAGGGATGGAGGGGACAACCCTGGCAAGCCAGGATCTCCGAAGGAATCTGTATTGGGTAGACCTGACTCTCAGTCCGCTCTAAACAAAAGGCCAGAGGTTTGTCTTGGGGTCAAGCAGGAGTTAAGGGTAAGCGGCCCCACCCCCAAGGAAGGGGATGACTTGCAAGGTTTGGAAGGTGGCCAGTCTTAAGGCAGAACATTGAAGCTAGCTCCCACCTGCCCACCTCCTGGAGAAGGTTCCTTTATGTATGTATGTATGTATGTATGTATGTATGTTTTTTGTCAAAGAACTGGAGTGAATGCAAGTAATTGGCAATATGGGCACCTCTCTCTTTTCTTCTCTCCCCCACTTTATGTTTGTTTGTTTGTGGTAAGACCACTAGCTTCCCGTTGTCAAAGAACACTAGCAAGACTACATTTCTCAGCCAGGATCAACCTCCTCATCAAATCCCTGCAAAGGAGGAGGAGGAGGATACCAAAGAGGAGCGGAGGAGGAGGAGGAGGAGGAGGAGGAGGAGGAGGAGGAGGAGGAGG